GCTTTGGGTCATGACGGAAAGGACAAGATCTCAGATACAAGCGGCAGAAATTAGTTTCCTTTTCAGGGTGGCAGGGCGCACTCTTATGGATAGGGTGAGGAGCTCGGAGTAGAGCCGCTGCTCCTCCACATCGAGAGAAGTCAGCTGAGGTGGCTTTGGCATCTGTTTCACATGCCTCCTAGACGCCTACCTAGGGAGGTGTTCCAGGCATGTGCCACCGGGAGGAGGCCCCAGAGAAGACCCAGGACACCCTGGAGGGACTATGTCTCTCAACTGGCCTGGGAATGCCTCGGGATCCCCCCCAAAAGAGGTGGAGGAAGTGTCTGGGGAGAGGGAAGTCTCCTTAGACTGCTACCCCCACGACCAAGCCCCGGATAAACGGTAGAAAATGAATAAATATAAAACACCAACCCAGACAATAAATCCCTTCACACTATTAAAAATGTTCAGAAAAGTCACTTTTTTTCCAACTTTTGAAGGTTAAAAGTTGGATCAAGATCCCATAATGCAATTCAAAAGCAAAAATAAACAAGGGGAAAATAAACATACATAAATCACAAAATATGGAAAACTGCTCATTTATGGATGTTTTTACAGTGTTTATGTGTGTCTATATTGAAGAAACCACGAATCAAACAGGTCATATGAGAATTGAATTATTTTACAAGTTGTTTTGTAATATTTGAAGGCCACAATACATTAGATTAGTCCACTAGAACACTGCAAAAATGATTTTCTTACTTGGAGTTTGTCTTTTTTCTAGTCCAAATATCTACACATTCCTCAATCAAGAAGCTTTTTCTAGACAAGCAAAACATATCACCTTATTTTAAGAAATATTGACTCTAAATGAAGTGAGTTTTTCCCTGAAACAAGCAAAATAATCTGCCAATAGGGTAAAATAAGCTTATTTTTCATTTTGACTAGGCCTGTCGCAATAGCTAGTTTCTGTAGTACGATATATTGCACCAAAACAATATTATTGTCATTTTAAGACCATTTTACCCAACTCATTATATAATGCCAGAATGGCAATATAATATCATCACAATGCAAGGACACTTTTCCAAAGAACACATCATAGTTCATTCTCAAGAATATTTAATTTATAGTCATTTTAACAACTGAATAATCAGGCATTGGAATCAGAGTGTGAAAACGCATATCCTAAATAAATAATAATAAATGTTAACAAAAAAGTGCAAGGTTAAGGGTAACAGAGGCTGCGATGTCTGATCTATTGTCAGCTGTCAGACACCCACATGAGAATATACTACAGTAATATAAAGTAAATACTACAGTGTTTCTGTAACCATACTGTCACTGGCAGCTCCAGTAGAGATAGAGATGCATAATCAGCTTAAATGTTGCTAGAATTGGTTTTTTACGTATCTTCAAATATGACTGAGCTCATGTCCATGTGTTGTCTGATAAGTTCATATGAAGAGTTCAGATGCAAAAAACCTCTAAACGCTGTCTGAAATGTTCTCCTAAAATGTGCATTTTTCTCAGCCTCCTATGTTTATGTTCAGTTAAGCCTCTTGAAAGGCAATGAAAAAACCTTATCTGTCACTATAAATGTAAAATTACTAAGCCAACACACAAGATTTGGTGAAAAAAGCTCATTTTAGAAGTAATATCAACTGGCTTTTAGAGGTTTTTGCATCTAAACTCTTCATATTTTGATTATTGTGACGGGCCTACTTTAACATGATTATTTTGCTAAACACACTGGCAGATTATTTTGCTTGTTTTAAGGAAAAGCTTCATATTATTGCTTTAAACAAGACAATATGTTTGCTTTTTTAGAAAATAGTAGATATTTGGACTAGAAAGCAGATTTTTTTGCAGTGAACCAATCAGTGTCTCGGTTGTCCTGTTAGACAGGAGGTGCTCTAAACAAACAGTTTAGTGACCGTCTCGCACCCTAAATAGTAAGCATCATTTGTTTTAGTGGCTGTAATAATCAGTAAGTGGCTCTGGTGTTTCTGCTTTTGTGTTTTTCTGTTCACCAAGAGGGAAGCTTGTATTTCTGGGCTTGCTAAGGTTTGTTTTAGTACTACTTTTCCAGATTCAAATAATGATTAGTTTATAAGTGCAATTGTTTATTTGATATTACGCAGACGGGTTCCTCATAACAGCTTCTTTATTACTTATTAAAAAGCCAAAATCATTTACAGATGAAGGACTTACTCTGATTTAGTATACCACTGACTATACTGCATGTGCTTTTATTTAAAACGGTTCATATTTTCTGCTGTGTTAATGTATATTTTAGTACTGGGTAAAGATTAATTGCATTCAAGTTTAAAGTTTGTTTTAGCATATATATTTGTGCATTAAACCAATCAGAGTCTCATCTTCCCTTTAAGAGTCAGTTGCGTTGCACCATTGCGCATTTGCTATTTCCATGGTGGACTTTTAGGTGTAAAAACTGAACGATTCACTAGCGAGAAAACAGCTAAACAGAGCATCTGCAGCGCGAGGATAAAGAACGAGCCTCCTCCATTCAGCCTCTTTACTTTCTCTCTTTACTCCTTTACTTTGGTGGAGTGAGGAAATGATGAACTCACTACACTGAACACATTCATTAGCCCACGTTTAATTTCCTTTGTTAAGCCTAAAGATTTGTTTCAAAACTATTTCTAAATTCAGTTCTAATGTCCAGCAAATAAATAAATCAACAATAATAATGAAGTGTGGAGTTATATCCAAACACACGTCCTGTTCTTTAACTATCTATCTAAATGGCAAAAACACTTCAGAGTAATACAAATAAAATCCCAAAAGTTAAATCACGTCAGACATGTTATATATGACAAAACTTGACTGAATAATTCTTTGAGTGACTGCCATAGCTATTTCACAGCACACATTTGTGTGTGTACTGTGTATAATTATTATGTATATGCTATATAAACACATGCATGCATGCACATATTTTTAGAAAATATTTATATTTAGATATGTAATATATACAGTTGCAAATAGAATTATTAACCCCCCTTTGAAATGTTCTTTTCTTTTTAAATATTTCCCAAATTATGTTTAACAGAGCAAGGAAATTTTCACAGTATGTCTGATAATATTGTTTCTTCTGGAGAAAGTCTGACTTGTTTTATTTCAGCTAGGATAAAAGCAGCTTTTAATTTTTTAAAACCCATTTTACGGTCAATATTATTAGCCCCTTTAAGCTATATATATTTTTTCGACAGTCTACAGAACAAACCATCCTTATACTATAACTTGCCTAATTACCTTAACGTGCAAAGTTAACCTAATTAACCTAGTGAAGCCTTTAAATGTCACTTTAAGCTGTATAGAAGTGTCTTGAAAAATATCTAGTCAAATATTATTTTCTGTCATCATGACAAAGATAAAATAAATCAATTATTAGAAATGAGTTATTAAAACTATTATGATTAGAAATGTGTTGAAGAAATCTGCTCTCCGTGAAACAGAAAAAAATAAACAGGGGGGTGATTAATTCAGGGGGGCTAATAAATCTGACTTTAACTGTATGTATGTGATACAGATTATACATAAATCATAATATCTATGTAACAAAACTGTTTGTTCTTATGCATGTGTGTTTCATATATACATAATAAATATATCCAATTCACACAAACCCACACACATATATATTATGTCCAACATAACTTTTATCTTTGCCCAGCACTAATATATATATATATATAAACTTAATAAGGACTTAATAAGTTCATTATAACAGTTATTAGCCCTCATGTGGAATTGCAATTAAAGAGACTCTGAAGTTTCTCTGACTCCTGTGTGTAGGCTTATTAATTTTACTTTAATAGCGACGAATAAGTTATTCACATTGCTTTTAAAGTGAAATAACTGAACATCGGAGGCTGAGAAAAATGGTGATTTTAGGAGAACCTTTCAGGTGGCATTTAAAAGTGCATCAGAACTCTTCAATTGTTTTTTAAAGTGCTTTTTAACAAAGCAACAACATTTTTCACAGTATTTCCCATTGTGTTGTTATTCTGGGGAAAGAATTATTCATTTTAGTTTCACTGCTCAATATTATTACCCCCCTTAAGAAGTATTTACAAACACTGTTGTCCAATGATGACTAATTAACATAATTAAGCCTTTAAATGTTACTTTCAGCTGAATACTTGTAAAGTAACTAGTCAAATATTATGTACTGTCATTATTCATTTCATCATTTTCTTGTCAGCTTAGTCCCTTTATTAATCTGGGGTCGGCACAGCGGAATGAACCGCCAACTTATCCAGCAAGTTTTTACCCAGCGAATGCCCTTCCAGCCACAACCCATCTTCTGGGAATGTACTGTCATCATGACAAAGATAAAAGAAATCAGTAACCATTATGTATAAACGGTGTTATTCTCTTGGGAATTTCTTATTTAATTTGCATTATTCGACAGCAGGGCTAATAGTTTGTGTTCAGCTGTATAGCGCAGAGTTTGAAGCATGTGTTCTGTCAAGTGTCTGAAGGCCTCAGTTTACAGTAATGAATCCTGTGCCTGAACCGTTTCTCACTGTGACACACACACGGTCCTTCTGTAGGCCTTCAGCATTCACGCTGCCAAAAAAACATGATAAATAAACCGTAGCGCAGTGAAATAATGCAGGTATTTAATGCTGGAATGTGAATGATTCTGCTGTTTGTTGTGCACGTGGTCTTTATAGCCCTACTTATTACTTAAATCGCAGATGTATAAAGTTACCCATGTTTGTACAAGTCAGAAGGCTTTGTTTATACTGAAAATATTATTTTGTTGGCTTCAAGTTGCATATTATAATAAAAACGATGGTTAATATCTAATAAAAGCATCTGTACTTCAAATAAGCTGTAGGTTATAATACTAAAATATAATTAAAATGATTTTTTTACCCTCTTTTATAGACATTTAGCTCCCAGCCTGATTCCAAATAAATGTGTGTGCATCAATGCAGACCATGCAATAAGTGTGTATTCAATAACACATTCAATAAATAAAAATGTTGAACTCAGCCTTTTATTGTGACTTTTTTAATGTATTATTATTAATAAAGAAACGAGACTTGCATTTATCCCTTATAAGCTAAATGCAATTATTATATTTGCATATTTTACACCACACTTCTAAATACACAGGCATGATGATAAAAAAAACAATGCACTAGTCATCAATATGGAAAAGCAGACAAAAAGAGGCCGCTTTTTTACCGCTTAACGATAAATACTGGGCATTAAATGCATTTCAGGAGTGGCACATGAAGTGTATAAACACCGCCACCTTCTTCTTACTATAATATAAATGCTCTGAATTCCACATTGGCGTCATTTTTCAGCCATAAGGCCCATCAGTGGTCAATCAGTGTGTTTTTTGGGTTGTTTCACGGTTTGGCCTTCAGCGCTGTAGCAGCTACACCTACTATAATGGCCACCACGGTGAAGCCTTGAGCGAAGATACGAGTCCTCATCAGCAGCTGAGACTGACGGGTTTTTCCCTGTTTGAAGGCTCCGAGGCCGTAGATGAGAGCTCCTGCTGTTCCCAAACAACCTGAGGATGTGACAGAGCAATTAGGCATGCTCAATAGAGTTCCCACTCAAAGCCAAATATTCAGTTTTATTTGTGTAGCGCATTAGTTTCACAGTAATTCTTGTTTCAAAGCTATGGAAACAGACTCAAAAGAAAACATTCAAGCAAAACACACGATGTACACATGCGTAGCCAAATTCATGTGCATGAAACCGAATTCACATGCGTGAAATATTTATATATATATTCACAAAAACAATTCATGTGCACAAAATAAAAATACATAGTCCTAAAATACGTTTCACAAATGCAAAAAAACATTTGCAAATGTATGAGTGTACAAAAAGTATGAATGTCAGTTTATCCTGAATGAGAACGTGCAAATCCTCTTTACTTTAGATACTAAACTCGCTCATTACAAAGCAGCTTCACAAAATGTGCACATTACCGCATTATACAATCCCGGCCACTTTATTAGGTACACCTGTCCAACTGCTCGGTAAAGTGTATTTCTAATCAGCCAATCACATGCGTGCTGCTGTCATATCAATATGGAGCAAAATCTCTAAGGAATGTTTCCAGTACCTTGTTAAATCAATGCCACGAAGGATTAAGGCAGTTCTGAAGGCAAATGCATGTCCAAGCAAAGTGTACCTAATAAAGTGGCCGGTGAGTATATACGCATAGTTAACCTGCAGTAATACAGTATATAGGTGATGTCTGTATAGTGTGTACATGTTCAATGCAGTGGATTTGTGTATTAAGTGTATGAAAATACCAAATGCACAGATTTTCCCCTGACTTTCACTGACCAAAGAGATGAATTCCCATGCCTTATAACTAGGCCCTCACGACATTCACAGATTCTTTAGCACATCATCTTTTTCTTTACTTATACAAATAAATATGTCAATATATTTTCAGTTTTTATCTTAATTTCAGTTGTTTTTGATTATGTGATAATATGGGAAATGTTTATATGGTTTATGTACAATGCAGTTTGTAAAGTCATGTTTTCTGTCTTTGATTAGATATATGAGACTTACTTTGTTTCCCAAACAAGTCATTTAAATTGGATTTGCATTGAAAACTTTTTTTTTAAATTGTAATTGCCAAAGTTAAGTGAGTTTTTCCTTATACCAAGCTAAATAATCTGCCAATGGGGTCAGCAAAATAATCTTGTTTTTCGATTTGTGGTAAGATTATTTTGCTTACCCCATTGGCAGATTATTTAGCTTGATTTAAGGAAAAACTCACTTCATTTTGGCATATTATATCTTAAAACAAGACAATATGTTTTGCATGTCTAGAAAATGCTTCTTGATTTAGGAACTTTTCGATATTTGGACTAGAAACAAGACAAAAAATCTAAGTAAGAAAAGCATTTTTGCAGTGTAGAGACTGCTAAATAAATGAATGTGCGAATCTAAAACCAACTTTACCTCAATTTCAAAATTCATGACAGTATATAGATGATGTCTGTGTACATGTTCAATGAAGTGAATTTGTGTATTAAGTGTATGAAAATACCAAATGCACAGATTTTCCCCTGACTTTCACTGACCAAAGAGATGAATTCCCATGCCTTATAACTAGGCCCTCACGACATTCACAGATTCTTTAGCACATCATATTTTTCTTTACTTATACAAATAAATATGAGACTGCTAAATGAATGAACGTGCGAATATAAAACCAACTAAACCTCAATTTCAAAATCCATGATATTCCAGGAACGCAGTGTGGGAAATCTGTGTATCGTTTTATTTACAGTTTCAGTATTTACTTATTTAATTTGGCTTCATTATCTGTATTCATGGCGAAAGCAATTCAGAATAATACACATATAAATACAATGAAACCATTTAAACAAACAAACAAAAGTTATTGGTGACTACCACATTGCACCAGAGGGCTCATAATGTATAAGTCTAAACTTTTAGTAAACAGTTTTTAACTTTAAATTTAACTCTAACAGCTCTCCACACAGTGACACGTGTAATATATATATATATATATATATATATATATATATATATATATATATATATATATATATATGTATATATATATATATATATATATATATATATATAGTCCTTGACCTCTGTCGGTGTGTGTGTTTATAAACGCGCTCGTCTGTGTGTGTGTGTGTGTGTGTTTATAAACGCGCTCGTCTGTGTGTGTGTGTGTGTGTGTGTGTGTGTGTGTGATATATAACAGTGTTTTAAAAGTCACCTATAGGAACGAACGGGTTCTCCTTGGTTTTCCTGATGAATTTGTCCTTGAAACCCTCCTCTCTAGTTCGCGAAGTAGGACTGAAGCCCTCGATGACGGGGGGTTGAGAAAGATCCAGCAGAACCGGCGGAGAAGCGCTTTTCCCCGGCTGATCTGGACTGACAGGAGCCGCAGCAGTAGCCATGATGACAACAGGAAGTGGAGGAGCAGAGAGAGCGCAGAGCATTTCCGCCAGCTGTGCGTCACGTGACAACACAAAAAAACTTTTAATTTTGGAAAATGGCGCCTCATGTTATGCAAGAAAGTCGTGAAAAGTAATGTGTTCATTCATTCATTCATTCATTTTCTTTTTGGCTTAGTCCCTTTATTAATCAGGGGTCGCCACAGCGGAATGAACCGCCAACTTATCCAGCAACTTATCCTGTGGGGGAAACCGAAGCACCCGGAGGAAAACCACGCTAACACAATAAACAATATAAATAATTCTTAATTCCTCTTTACGATGAAGATTAGGTTTGGGGTAGGTGTAGACCAGGGTTTCTCAACCACGCTCCTGGAGGACCACCAACACTGCATGTTTTGGATGTCTCCTTTCTCTATCACTCCTATTATAGGTCTATCAGTCTCTAAATATGAGCTGATGATCTGAATCAGGGGTGTTTGGTGAAGGAGACATGGAGAATGTGCAGAGCTGGTGGTCCTCCAGGAACATGGTTGAGAAACACTGGTGTAGACGTTAATAAAGTGTAATTTAATGGGTAATATAAATATTAACATTTTTCTAATTACTGTTTTTGCATTACTGTGAGAATTGGAATAGAGTAGACGTTAATAAAATACAATTAATGAATAATGTAATAAATAATATGAATAATTCTCGTTAACTTCCGGTCGCAGCTTGTATCCCTTCTACCAAAACCCATATATAAAATAAAGGCGATTCTTCACACCTCAGACAAATTAACTAATCAAAAATCGGCACAATATTTAACGTATTGTTAAATGAAATTAAATAAACACAGTGGACTCCTGCGCAACAGGCGGCGAAAGAGAGAAATCTTTCTGCCTTAACGTCTTGGCACGTCAGCACGCTTTATACGTCATCACGTTTTGTTAGGGCTCGGCGAGGTAAGATGGCGGCGCCAGAAGAACAGGAATTATCTCAGGCTCAAACTGAAAAACTCATTCAGTTTCAGGTACCAGTTAGTTTGACTTGGTAACACATACTGACTCGATCTTTTATACACTCGATTATCAGGAAAACAGTGTTCGCGGTGTCCAGCTCGCCTTCTGTTGGTGTAAATGACCAGTCAGCGAGCGAACTGCCGTTAAAGATCGTTAGTTTTTACTCAAGCGAGACCAGCTTCGGTTTAATAACAATTACAGATTTAATCTGAATAATACTCTACTGGATTGTGCTCATATAAACTATTTATCTGGTTTACAAATAGCTCTTGTTTTAGTTGTGCTGGCAGCTGTCAGTTAGTCAGCGAGACACTGGTTGTGTTTTAATACCTAGTGAGTTGACTATCTAGACAGCAGATTTAGTCAGATTGAAGTGAGTCTGTAATGCCTAAAATGTTGTCTAGTTAGGCAACACTCGAGGTTTTTTTTTTGACAACCTGAAGGATAACAGCTAGTCACCCGGAACAGTTCGTAAATACTACAAATGTCATCTAGATAGATAGCTTAGTGTGTTTTGAGACGCTTTTCTAATCTAAACCCATTCTGATGAAACTTGCTTAATTCTGTTATTTTTCTTTTTCAAACCAGTTGTAATCATCATCAGTATGGCTACTACTGAGTCATAGCAAGAAATAAAGATGCCCTTGAATAGCAACTGCTTAGGGAAACACTCAAATCTATACATTTTTGTAAACATACTGCTCCAAATGTTTAATTTATTAACATAAACACACTCACTAGTCTTAATTATATTGACCGTTCTTTGTGTTTAAAGAGATAATCACTCAAAAACTTAACATTTACACTCTATTTAATCTCTTCAAACCTAAATAAGATTGTTTTTCCCAAAAGAGGGTGTTTTGTAGAATGTTAGAAACTGGTGGCCATTGACATCTATAGTAGGAAATAAAAAAAACATTCCCAACATTCTTCAAAATATCTTCACTCCTCACAAATCTCTCTTTTAAATTCATATTTTTTTATAGGAAGCTATATAATATTATATTTGTGCAAATACATTAGATTAGCCAGTACTAAAGCCAAATCTGGAGCCTATCTAACAAAATAACTTGCGATAACGGTCCAAAAACTAGTACAGCCAAATGTATATGATATAGAAAAATATTAAATACAAATTTTAAAAAGAGGAAAAATCAAGAGAAGCAAAAAAATTTAAAAATTTAGTTGAAATTTTGAAGGTTGTAATTTATTATTAGTGTTATTATTTTTTATATAATAATATTATTATATTATTAATTAATATATATTTTTGTTGCAATATTTAGCTTGACTTTAATTGTTTTCTTTCAGTTTCTAAATTTGCTTGGTGACTAAAATATGATTTTAATAAATATATGTTTAACAAATCTGATTTGTTCAAATGCACCAAAATACACTGCCTACATTCACTGGGAAATAGATATAAATACTCTTTTTCAAAATAGGGTGTACTCAATTATGCTTAGCACTGTATGTCCAACTGGTTCAGAACAAGTGTAAGGTGAATAAATGAGTAATTTTTAATTTTGGCGTGAACTACCCCTTTAACTTTTGCAAATGAATTGCCATCTTTTGTTGCCGTTCAGGACCTGACGGGCCTCGAGTCAATGGACCAGTGTCGGCGCACATTAGAACAACACAATTGGAACATTGAGGTGAGAGCTGGAAAGCCAGATGAATGCATCCTTTCATCATCATCATCACTGGATTTGAAAGCATTGGATTGATGTAAATGTTTTGCAGGCTGCAGTACAAGACAGACTAAATGAGCAAGAAGGAGTTCCCAGTGTCTTCAACCCGCCGCCCGCCAGACCGCTACAGGTCAACACAACAGACCACAGAGTCTATAGCTATATTGTCTCAAGGCCACAGCCTAGAGTAAGAGGGTTTTCATTTAATCTTTTCTTCGTCACCGGTGCCAAGTTCTACAGTAGTCAACATTCGAAAACTATGCTAAGATCAGAACTGATGCTGTTGAATCGTTTTAGGACAACTTTCATGATCCACTTCAAATGTTGCCTACTGTATATGCAAGCTGGACCTGTTGCAATAATCAATATATCCACTTACTGCGCAATACATAAACATGACCTCAGTTTTTGGTGTGTTTGCATAAAAATGAATGTCATCAACATTTGATCTGATTTCCCAATCTAAACTCAGTGTCAGTGATGATATGACAAAAATACTACAGTAAATACTAGTGTCTTAACCCTGCTATAGTAAAGCTCTTGAAATAATCAGATTTGATTATTGTGTAGTTACTATAGCAAGTTAAGAATCAATGAAAGAGATTAAAGTGTTTTACTATGGTATGGTTCAAAACACTATAATAACATAGTAAATACTATAGCGTTTTTGAACCATACTATAGTAAAGTACTTGAATTAGTGTGTGGTTATTCTTTACTTTCTTTGATAACACAACAACTAGTGTAAACAAATCATCAATGCTGTCATTTTCTACAATATTAGGGTAGATTATACTACAAGACACCACAGTTTACTTTACTAAGACGAGGCTCGAAATTGCGACCATTTTGGTCGCAAATGCGCCCGAAAATTAATCTGTGCGACCTCATAATATATCTGGGAGCATTAGTGCGACTGCAGATAATGGTTGTAGTGCGACCTGTTTAGATTTTTTCTAAAAACATGCTGAATCGCTCTTTCCTGCCGCTTTATTGGTTCATATTAGCTGTCGATCACTCAAGGTATTCCACTGTCAGATGACAGGGAAGGAGCTTTTATGACCACGGGAAATGCAAACGGCTGAAGAGTGAAAACTTAAAGCACACAGGTTTGCAAACCCCACCTAAAGTTAAGGCGCAGATGAGAGCGATCATGACATGTGGTGAATATTGATCCGCCAGCTGAGATCAATCGAGTACAGGCTTTTCGGAGAAGGTGCCTGAATCTCGATGCGTTGCGTGTTCAGCGCAAATGTCTGCTAATAGTCAAATCTAAGCTAAAAGTCAGATCTAAAATACTGTACATATCATCGCCAAAGAAGCTCGCCTTTACTAAGTTTACACTGTAACTGTGGCTCATGACAAACAGCGGTATTGCGCCGATGCTCAACCTGCTCATAAATTGGGTCGGCTGACTCACCTGCTTTTCCACTAACACAGAAAAATGAAAATCAGCTCAGACTGAACAGTTAAATTGACACAAACTGAAACCAAAACTTTTAAAGAGTGATAGAAGTGAGACTTTACTTACTTTCTTTTGTCTATTCGTTCTTGAGGTGTATATTAGTATTTTATTTATTTACTGATGACTGCTTTGCAGCTTTCAGCCTTGAATTTAATTATTTATTATAATCTTTTGTTTGTTTTGCAGCAGAAATGTTATTTATTAAATTGACATGCATATAAAAACAGAAGTACAAAATCAATATTTCTTACTGCAATGCTTCATTTTTGTTTGATGCAAACTATACATTTATTTTTCATAAAGTAACAGACTTTTTATAGCAGATAACTTGCATTCAAGCACATTCAAGGCAGCATGATGATGACAAATGTAATTCATTGTTACTATTATTGTCATTTTCATCATCATTAATATTCTAGAATTATTAGACATACACATTTTGGAATTATTGCACACAAATATCAATGTCATCTCAGCATTAGTTACAGTTATTTCTGGTTTTTGTTAGTCCTTATTGATGTCTTTTTAAAATACAATAAATCCCTTAAAATACAATTTGCAGCAGTGCTCAATCATTTTTGGTGGGTGCTCCTAAATTTTTTCTGGTGCTCCTAAAGTTTTGAAGTTGGGAGCACCGGTGCTACCAAGTAAAAAAGTTAATTTCGAGCCCTGTAAGATATGTTACTGTGTTTGTTACAGTTTTAGATCACTCTATTTAATTATACAGCATGCTGAAGCATTCATTAAAGTTTTGTAAATACTATAATATGAAGAGTATAATACACTTCACTATAGTCAGGGTTCATATGGTCATGGAAAAGTCATGGAATTACGACATGGCATTTTCCAAGGTCTGAAAAA